GGACACAGGTGGGGAGCATTTCTTTGTGTGTGCAAAATCATCAGAACAAGAGCGTTGYTCAGGAGAGCACATCTGGACAGTCAGCATCTTCAGCACAGCTTGGGCCAGGGGCTGGTGACCCAAGAAATCCTGTCCTTCCTTCTGTCCCTTCAGTGCACCCCAACTCTGAACACTTTTGGCATGCAGTGGGCATCAGCAACATTTTATTGGTGCTGTGGCCCTGTCGGACTATACTAATATATTGTTATTAATTTTGTTGTTAATAAATAAATTGCTAGTAGCAACTCGCATGATGTTTTACACACTTCAAGTTTTACTTTGCCTTTAGTTTTCTTCCTCTCCAGAAGCAATAAACACGTAAGAGTCAGTTGCTTGTCTTGTATTTCTGTTTGTGCTTTTCAAACAGAAACGTACTGACAAAGCATTTTGATAGGATGATTATACCATCAAAGGTGCAATTATTGAAAACAGTGAAGTATCTATTTTATATAGAAGGATAGCAGAGATTACACTTCAATTCCTAGTTTTTCAGTGCTTGACGCTAGCAGATTGCCCAGTTGTGGGTTATTACTTGCAAAGATGTTCAATCAGAAAGCTTTTTCCATTTTTATATTAAGAATTGGAAGTGTTATTCCACTGAGGCAGATTTTATTCTGGAGCTTGTTTCCCAGGAACACACAGAAAAGCCCATCTGTAGGATTTCTGGTCCACCCTCAAAGACCTTCAGGTCTTTTACCCATCCGTGTGCCCATGAGCTCGAGGGTCAAGGGACAGACCCTTGCTACGCTGAATTCAGTAGCAGAGCCTCAGCAATAGTTCACCTGAAACTTTTCCCCTTCATTTTACGCCTCTCAAGCTATTGTAAAACTCATGCTKACTCTGACAAGTTTGATTTACTCCCAAATTCATATCAAGGCCTTTATGGGAAAAATGCCATGTTAGTCATTAAATCAGTKTAGTTTTTGTAGGATTATTCACAGGGTTAGTAAAAGGCACACAGTAGTATCTAGCAGAGAAATTACATACCAGGTTTTCTTCACAAAGTTCTCTGAACTGGTAAAATTTCTGGGCCATGAGAAGCTGGGCACTGCCCACTGCAGTTCGAATTTTCCCTAGAACTGAGAGAAAAAGAAGAGTAAGTCACAATGGTTTTTTTTTGCTGCAGGCAACTAAAAGCTTACAAAAGGAGAGGAGAAAGCTGTGCAGCAGACAGCTGCAGGTTTTCAAAGGCATGTTATCTTTCAGTCACAAAAAGAGAAAAGCTGATAAATCTAAGGTCAGATCTCCACTGGACAAAAATATGTAAAATGTTGCTGCATCTTCCTCTCATTCCTCCAGTGAGACCGGTTGTAACCAGTTGTAAATGTGGCTAATCAAAAGCTCCTGCAGGCTGTATAGAAAGCTGACCAGGACTGTCACTGCTCCTGTCACCATGACCCAGGCTCAGGTTTAGGACACAAACCCGGCTCCCTGCACGAGGCCATGTGGCTCTCAAACCCTGTTTGCTTCTCCATCTCATTGTCAGGTGAAGCTGAGCACTGCTCAGTCAGAGCCCCAGAAGGGATGATTGTTTAGTGCACACCAGTGAATCTCACTTGGACCCTTGGTGTATTTTCCGTGGGCACAATCCAAGGCTGCTTCTGCCTCTGAATTCAAATGCCCAGGAGTACTTCAGGGAGCAATTGCACCCTGGCCTCTCCTTCTTGCTGGTGACTTGGAGAGAGGTGTCAAAGAGTCCCAGCYCGGCTCCTGTGCTGTCTGAGGATTCCTTTGTACAGACAGCTGGGTACTCGCTGCCCCCTTGGTCTGACTGAGGGCTGTGAAGAGCTGCAGTGAACCAGACGACAGCCCCTAGTAAATGCCTCTGAATAAAGCAGGAGCTCACACTGTTTTGGTTGCATTCAGCCTCACTCAGACACTGGGATTTTACTGCTGCAAGGGAATACACTACCCAAAACCGAGTGGTGCATTCAGGGACTCCCTGGGGCTTTGATGAGTTTTGGTCCAGGGCAGGAGTGTGTGTGTACCTGCACACGTGTGTGTGTGTGTGTGTGTTTGCACCTCTGCGTGGGTGAAAAAAGAAGCAAGAATGCAAAAACACAGTGGAAACACAGACATCGCCTCAGCTGTCAGCAGGGCACTGAATCCAGAAAACAGTGYGTGAGTTTGGGGTTTACTGTGTGAAAAAATTGATACTGTGAGCAAGAAAGCAGCTACTGATTTGTTTGAGACAKTCAATGCTCAGGAAAAAGCCCAAAACTGTCTTTTAACAAACAGGCTGGCATAATAGATTTATCTGGCTCCTTCACTAATTTTCCTTCTYGGCTGAAGCAAATTGTTATCCCCAATTCTCTGGTTAATGAGTGATTTAAAATTAATTTAAATAAATTTTTAAAATACTACCACTTTCTTAACTAAAAACATGAATGGTAGCCACTGTGTCCTGRTTCTCACTATCACTTCTACTCAGAGATATTTGTATTGTCCCAGCCCTCAAATAGACACAGCAACTTTTCCATGACAAATTTACAGCCTGGATATATGAGACAGGTGAAGGAGGGACAAGAAAAAAAAACAGATGAAGTGGCCTGCTCAAGGTGAGTGAATTGCTGGCAGAGCCTAGAAAAGATACCAGTCCTATGCTGTCATCTTCTGCATCATCCCTTGGGCGCAGTCACTTCTTGTGTAAAAGCCAAGACAGTGCTAACAGAGCTCCTCTGGGAAAACACTGCTAAGTGTTTTAATTCACCACATGAAAATCAAATAAATAAATATATACATACATAAATATTGCAACTTCGCTATAACCCCTCCTAACAAGATTTTTAGCATTTCACTGGTCCTGTGACTGGTGGCAGTGCTGGCTACCAGAGTGCCACCATGCAGCRCTTGGTTAGAGAAAGGCCCCTCCAAGGGATTGAGTAGCCACACGCTAAGCAGACTRGCACAAATACTCATGGTAAACTGAAACTTGACACACAATAATACGAAATCTCCTCCTTCAAGGCAAATGGCTTTTCCCCCAGCAGCCTCAAAGCTCACTACTTAAGGCTGTTGAAGGAAAAGTGGGATGTGGAGTTCATTTATACTTCAGACATACAAAGGGGGAAGAAAAAAAAGGGGGAGGGAAGAGAGAGTCTTTTCACATTTTTTTCAGAACCTATAGGAGAGAGCTCTGTGAACACACACAGAGCCCAGACTTTCATTTTGTTCCCAGAACTCAGCTCAGCACTGCCAGGAAACAGCCGTGAGCTGGAAGATTCACTAAGCAGAATATTTTCAGCATATTGCGCAGGGAGTTTTGCACACAACTCTCATTATTGTTAGCAAGGCTTGCGTGTCTAATTCTATGCGCACAGTGCTGAAAATGGACCYCTTGGTGTGTCTAGTCATTTATGCAACCCAATATGCAAACCACTCAACTGAAAGGACTTTTCAATAGTAGGAGGAGCTACTCCGAGAGCTTTCATGTGGTTCCCATTGTTATGAAAACTCTTCCCACTGAGTATATTTGGGAACAGCTGCCTCATCTGGAGCTCGGCCACTCTGATGCTTCCCAAGACTTGAGAAGGGTAGGAAAAAACTGTCTCTCAACTTCTTGGGATTAAAGAAAGGAAAAAAAATAAAAGATGAGGTGGGCTATTCCTGGAAACCTGCACCAAATGAGTTGGAAATCACAATCCCAAGCATGAAGAAATGTAAATACAACTTGTTGGTGATGGATGGGAATGTGCCCCTTTCTTTCGGGGAAGAAGAGCTTAATATTCAGAGATCTCAGCAGAAGGAAAAGGAAGTCCTTGTCCTTGGCTGCCTAGTGACTGGCTATTTGCCTAAAAACCATCAGCCCAGCTGACTGCGGGATGCATGCTGATGCTGTTCTCTATTGTTGCCACTTGTGCTGTAGCTGYGGCTGTATCTAGTCAAGTGTCACTGATTCCTCGCCCCTCAAAAGCAAGGGGTCTGTTAATGTGCAACTCGTGAACAACCAACTCTGTCACGGAAGTTTGGGGGAAAAGAAGACWACAAAAAACAAAGCATGCAAAAAAMTGAAAGGAWTCTCTCCAGAAGGCACAAAGCCTTATCAATAGCCTAAGTTTTGTTTCCAAACCCACGCTGCTTTTAGCGTTTCAAGGCAGAGTGGTCATTTTGCTTACTCAGTCAAAATCTCTGGTGCCAAACAGAAAGGCCAAGGTGTAGTGAAAAATTGAAAATAAAAATAGACCAGTAGACTTCCTTGGAAGAAAAGCCTACAAGGTTTGAAGCCGAATACCAACAAAATAAATGGAATTGCAAATATAAGAGTCAAAACATATCAAAGAAGAATCAGAGAAATCTTTAACAGCAAGAGAGATGGGGTACAGGAAGAAAAACACATAAACATTCAAATTGATGTGTTCAGCTAATAGGATACAAAAAAAAAACATATAAAACCAAGCAACAGAAAATCCTAACCCACCAAGATGCAATCATAATGGATTTAAACACCTATATAATGTTATTCATGTCTGCTTTCTGTTCCATACAGGGCTATACAGCACATTCAGCACTGCTGGATCTGAATGCCTTCCAGTAATGCATTAAGCAACATTATTAACATCCATCATATGCTTTGCTGTCACATCTTCCCCAGAGGGAGAAGTGTRTGTGCTGCAGTGTTTTGTTTTTATAGTTTGAATTTTTCCTTTTTTTTCCCTCCTTGCTTTGACCTCTCTTCCTTATAAATCCAGTTCTCTCCTATGACATTTTTACAGAAATAGACAAATAATGTCTACTGCAGAAGAACTGCTTCAGTATAGCTATTTTGATGAAATTCAGCTATTGTGGAATGTCTCCTCACTATTACTGTTCTTAACTAGGAGTCACAGAATATTATTCTAGGACAGACACATGGCAGTGAATATCCTTGTGTKGCTAACCCCCAACATGTTCTTCTTTTAAAACATTCTTAAAAACAGACTTGGGCTATGTGCTGTTCAAGCGTTAAGTCCTTGCTTCTCTTGGTTCTCAGACTTGCATAGGACCTGTTTTGAAACTGTAGAGTTTCAAATCCTATCTCCCCCATCCATGTCTTTGTAGGAAAACAACAAAAAAAATTGCAAACACAAGCAAAAAAAATTGTGTCACTGTCATCTGCTCAAACTTGGAAGGTGACTGTGTATAACAAGGAYAATGAAATATAAGAAAATAACAACAACAATGTGAAAAGTAATCACATAGAAGCTAGGGGAATTTTGAGAAGGGGCAGCATTGTTTGGCCTCAAAAGCCCAACTGATGTATTTGCATTTCACCTTTGACAGGCCCCAGGGTCTAACAAGTGACAAAGGAGGCACTTTAGGACTGTGGTTACCAAATACCCTTAATGTGAAAACACCTGGTTGATAGGCAAGGCCCAAGCTAGGGAACAGAATTCCAGGGACTTGCTACATTGCCCCAGGAGCAAGTGGCAGGAACAATAGCTGAAATTACAGGGACACAGCCTGACATTTGCGTTGCAGATGTTGGCTGGGCACTATGCATATGAAGCAATCCTGCCACAGAGCYGTCACAATCCATTTCCAAGCCAGGATGGACCAGCATTTTAGCCTATTCATGTTGACAGACCTACATTTAAATAGCACCAAGCATGACAAAAGCCAGGAAATTCAAAGTTAAAGCTACTGCTCAGGTCTTAAGCTCAGCTGTTAAGGAGAAAACAGCCAAATGGAACAAACTAGGGAAGGAGCAGTCCTTGCTTTGAGTCATATATACTTACAGGAGTGATCTCATTGAAATTAATAGGGCTGTCAGCATGAGCTGTTCATTTGGATTAAAGTAGTTTCCATGTGTTCTCTGACTTACTTGGCTTTTATTTGCACATTTATTTTTTTTTTCCCTAACTAGATTGTTTCCTTGCTTGTGGATTTCATTTTTTGCCTTGCTAGCYTCTGGGCAGCGGTAGGGCTTTCCTTGCTGGCCTTCCTTTGAGAAACCTGGTGTATGGAGAAGTCCCTTCTGGGGAGAAAAGAAAACCAGAACAAGAAAAGGATGAGTTGGGCATATGGCCAGAGGCACATAGCCAGGGGGATTCCAGCAGGACTSAGCCACATGTCAGGCTGGTGACTGTCCCTCCACATGGCTGCCCCAGCCCAGTGCAGGATGAGGCTGCCTCATTCCTTGGAATGGCAGAGGCCAGGACCAGGACTGCATGGAGAAGCCATGCAGAGGAATGGCAAATAGTTTTCTTTGCTCATGGCTGAAACTGAACTCATGGATCTCTTTTTCTATTGTCATGCACATCTATTACAAAAAAAATATACCTTTTCCTTAACTTTATTCTCTTTTGTCTAGCCTTTACTCTTTACTTTTGAAACAATTAAAACAAACCAAAACAGCAGACAGTGTGTCAGCATTGCATAATTTGCCAGAGCTGGATGAATTTGCAGAGGCTCTGGTCCTAAGCAGTGAGGTTCCTTCACATTTGAGGTCAACCTTCACTCACAGACTAGCCCAGAGGACTTCACATAAACACAAGAGAGTTATAACGACACGCCTTGTAAGAGCCTTGGTTTTCTCTTTTAGTTTCTCCTCCAGTGGCCTGGCTTGTCTCACCACTGAACCCACATTACACCTGACTTGTGGTGAATCAGGCCTSCTCTTTGCTTCTGATTGTTATCTTTACACCAAAGCCACAGTACAACCCCAGGTGAAAGAGAATCTCTGAAGGAGGGGCAGAAGGAGGCAAAATGAAGCCCTTCAGCTCTTCCAAGAAGGTCAGTGCTCCATGTGAAATACAAACAGCAAAAAAAAMCCTCTAAAGACAGGCTGAGGTCACAGGAGTATGTTCCTGTGCCCACTGCTGTTGGGGAAAAAGGTGGTCAGAGCCATTAGCAGGTCTGTTGCTGCTAATTTTGTGTTTAAATGATGACAATAGAAACCTGAGCCAAAAGTCACCAGCAACTGTGGTGAGGCTCTGACTATTTGAAATTTTGCAGGGGAGAGGTAGGAGGAGCAAGCAGATGGTTGAGGAGAAAACAAAAAAAAAGTCAACAGTTGATTTCACTTGAGTCCTGATCCAAAGCRTCAATCAATGCTCACAAGGTGTTTAGCCTCAGATGTGTAACATCTTCTCTTTTTTTTTTTAATGAGAACCCCACAGTTTGTAGCCAACTTCTYTGTAACTGCAAAATACACTGAAATCATATCGAGTATGTTAGCTTGAAGTGTGAGTGGTGTTCATCTGCCTGTCACACATGCTGCAGCTTTTATCAGAAAATGATTTCAGATAAAACCAGAATATACTATACAATAAATAATTCATGGTGGAAGGGAAACCGCATTTCTCTCTATATTGGCATTTCACCGTGCAGCCGCTGAGCCACAGCTTGTTTTTATACAGAGCAGCAGACTCCATTTCCCAGCTAGAAACATTCAACCCCATCTGGTAGATTCATTCCCAGCTAGATAATACCCAACGTATCKATGTAACATACAAGCTACTGTCAAACAGCAGCGAGCCGTCTCCCCGAGACAGCTGTTCCGCACAAGGGCCGCATTGTCTGCAGGAAGCGCGGATCGTTTTACGTGGAGCGCCGGGGGGATGAGCCCTCTGTCAGCTGCCATGGCATCGAGAAAACCTCGCTCATCACACGTTCTCCTTATTTTGTTATCTGGCCAAACACATGCTGGGGATGTCAGGTTGAAAACAAAGGAGGCATTCCGTGYTCTGGTTATATTTCATTAGGGAAAGCAAAGCAAACACACCTCTTCTCCTCCTTTCCTCTCTCCCTCTCTTTAAAGTTTATAGATGTATGAAAAAGACGAGTTTTCAGGGCAGGGCTTGCAACAACCAGGCTTTTGTTTCTGGCACTGCTGAGCGGGCAGAGTGGCCCTGGCCATATGCTTTTCCTTGGCACCAGGTAGAGTGGGACGTGCCGAGCCGCAGCAGAAAGCCCTGTGCAGTCTCAATGGGAGGCAGCTGCCACGTGCCACAGCAGCTGACAGCATCACACCCAAATCAGTCCTGTGACAGTGGCTACCAAACCCAGGTCACCCTTTTCCTCTCATCTTTTCCATTTCCAATGGTCACAGGAAATGGGACGCACGTCATACGTGGTGAACAGACGCTTTAAAACTGTCTTATATTGAAGACACCAAGACATTGAGACAAAATTCTGTACAGATATGCATGTTCTGCATCGATCAGCCTTGAAAAATTCACTTCATGTTCTTTTCCTACTACTTTACTTGTGCACCAACTACCTTGGTGCACAAGTAAGATATTTATAGGTTTTCCCAGTATTATCACTTCATAGAATAACAGAATAATTTGAGTCAGAGGGGACCTTTAAAAATCATCTAGTTTCAGCCCAACTGCCATGGGACAAGGACATCTTCCACTAGACCAGGTTGCTGAAAGTTCCATCCAACAGAACCCTTCCAGGATGGGGTTAACTTTCCTGGGCACTGTTCCAGTGTCTCACTATCCTCATCAAAGAATATGTTTTCCTTATGTCCAGTCTAAGTTATTATGACAAAGATAAAGCAGTTGGATTTTATGGCTTCGACTTATAAACTTATTAACTGTTTGTTATGTGTTCACCTTTTTTTTTTTTTCAATCTAAAATATCATAGTTCATGATGTTTATTTCTTCATGTTACAGAAACAACAGAATCCCTTTTATTCTGATATGTGTTCAAAGAGATTTCTGCATTGATGGTGTGAGTTAAAAATTAGATTCAAAAATTCTAGAACTTGGACAATCTGGATCTATTTTTAAGGTCAAACCTTCTATATTTTTTCTTCAGAAGACATTGTTAGCCTGTTATATTATATAAATTTTGTAGACATATAAAACCMTTATGTATCTAAAAATTCAAGTTCTCTCATACTTGCCATTCAAAGTCAATTTCCAGTTGCTTACAATCATGTCTAACTTTGACTGTCTGGATCAAACTTTTTCATTCACTAGGTTGAATGTAAAGTTTCAGCAGAAACAGCTTACAAAATTTTTTTTTTCCAGTGGCTCTTTCTTTCCCTTTATAAATCAAAACCTTTACATTTCAAAAGAATTCAAACAATTCTTTTCTTAAGAGGGAGGGTTAGAAATTTTAAACAAGAAATTCTGAGCTGAAGTAGTAGTCATTGCTTTAGTAGAAGCTAATTTGGGGGTTGGAAAAAAATATTAGTTGTATATCCAGGAATATATGCTAGGTGTGYCTATATTGTGAAAAACTGGATTTTCTATATGCAGCTACTCCTTCATGTTCCCCAGAAGCTCCCTTCTAAAATTTGAAACAGCTTCATTCACAAGGAGCATGCTTGTAAACTCACAGGTTTAGCTCTGTCCAAAAGCTGACAGCGAGCAATGGTCCAATTTACCTCCTTGTAACAGAAGTAAATGAAAAAGACCCATTTTTACTGGGAGAAGAAGTTCTGGACAGGGAAGAACATGTTCAACCCTTCTGCCCTAATCAGAGTGAACAAGTGAGACGTGAACTACTGAACCCTCAACCCGCCTGAGTCATGATGGTTTATTAGACAGCCCCACTGCCTTATAGGTGGGTCAATATTGCTAACAGCAGTGACACCTGGGATGTAGTTTGCATGTGTGGGTTTTTTTATCACACAATATGAAGATGTTTTATTGGGATGATCAAAGACAAATGAGAACTGCACGGGAGATGAARGGAGGTTGGAGAGGGGAAGAGAGTGAGAGGACAACTTGGAAGCATAACTGAAATCTCTCAGTAGGGAGAAACATCTAAATACTCTTATGCCAATCACCATCTGAAAAGGCAACTAAAATATGAATTTAATTAAAAGGAACTACAATCTGTTAAACTATATTCTAAGGTTATGAGAAGTGATTTCAAATAGAAGAGTTAAGAAACATTAATACTACAAGATCCCTAACCACGTTCTCCTAATTATCCATTGAACTATRTAATCCCAAAAGCTAATACCACCGGAGTTTCAGAAGTGCTGAGCATTTGCATTCCCTGTCAGCTTTAATAAGGATTATTATATACATGCATACAGTCCTTTTGAGAATCACCACCATAGCTTCATTAGCTAAGTGAGAAAGGGCACAATGCAGAATTCACTGGAGTGAATTTGACCTATATTAAATAATTCTTTGCAGTTACAATGTTATTGCGTGTGGTTACTTACTGTCCTCAGGTAAGTTGTTTTCACGCTCTTCTCTCTCCATCTGTTGGCACCAACCCTCCATACGATCTCTCTCTGCCTGAAGTAGCTTCAGAAACCAGTGGCCATCTCGTGGGCACACTGATCTTTGAACAGCTTCCAGAGGATCTTCAGTAATAGAGTCAATCCATGGATCAGGAGGAGGTAAAATTGACGGATCAAAATCTGTCTCAAAGTCATCATCCACTGCACATGCATGGTAATGGTTTCCTGACCCTTGTATGCTAACAGTAGAGGTGCTTGCATCTCGGGAAAATTGTCTTGATATTTGTCCAGAACATGTATTGTCCTCTTGAGGGTCGATTATTTCAAAGTTCTCATGGAAATCCAGGTCTGCTTGCACGGCTGTTGTTACACTGTTAGATCGTGTAAACCTGCGAAAGCTTCGGGGAGCACAAACAGAAAATGTTTAGAAAGTTTTTTCTGGGTGACTCGGTATGGAAGGAYTTACTAAGATTCTGCCACTCTTCCTAAGACTGGCAGTCACACCTCTCAATGCTACATTCAAGTGTAGCATTGTTTCAGCATAAACTTTTCWTCTCATTGCAAGCAAACAAAGAAGCATCTCTCTTTTTCCATGCAAGCTCACTGTTTATTGAGACAAGGAGCTTTAATTGTTGTGTGGTTTAACAAAACCAGAGGCTAGCCCAAGAGACAGCTAGCAGTGTGCAGGATTTTAGGCTACTGACTAATGAAAGGTTAAAGGGCCCCAATTTTCAGAAGTGGCTTATCTTTCAATTTCTAAAACTCACACCCCTTTGAAGTTACACATCCAAACTCACGAGCCACATTTAAAAATCGTGTCTGTGAAACTGATAAGATAGTAATAGCAATGAGTGTTATACAAATATGATATTACACATTCCATTTATATAAAAAAGTATTTTTAACTTTAACTTCTATTTTTAAGTCAGATAAGCATTTCTATTGCTTCTTTGTAATTACTCTTCATAATTATATATCTGCTATCTCACAATTTTAGCACCCATTGCTGGTGTCCAGACATTTTGTTTTTAATATTCAACCTTCAGCTTCAAAATGATTTTYTCTTTTTCACCAAAGCTAGCATTCTGTCTCTGTCTGTGTCCCCCTCATTGGGATGGTTGCTCTCCTGTAGGTAGCTTCCTTTCCCCTCGCAGAGTTACCCTGTGTTGGGGCATCTGAGGACTGAGAACAGTCGTGAGAGTGAAGGCAAAAATAGGGGAGAGAGAGGAGGTTTGGGGGCTTGGGTAGGTTTTCTTGATGCAAACAGTATTTCAAATTCTGCAGTCCAAGGCATCTGAGGGGAAAAGGCTGACAGAGGAGGAGCACAGAGAAGTACAAGGAGTGAAAGACAATAATGCTGTTGTGGGGGTGGTAAYGAGAGCCCATTTGATCAGCAGTAATATTGGAGAGGGCATGAATGGAAAACAAGCGGGGCAGACAGCTATTTTGCCCCATGATGAAAAAGAAGGTAGAACTATAAAATACTTAGCATAGATGTTTCTGAAATCAGTGATGTTTAGGGCTCAGAACTGACATAGTTTTGAAACGAATAGGGACAGATTCCCATCTCCTCTTCTTACTAATCTAAGATGCCTGTGCACTCACACAACTAGAAGTTGGCCTCCAGTTTGTTCTCAATCTCACACCTACACTTGAAACTAGTGTTAGGACCCATTTTCCTGTGATATTTTGGCTGTTTTGCCCTYGCCAGTTCTGTTTTTAGTTTGAGCTCAAGCAGCAGTGAAAATGCTGAAGAGATGGTGGAGGATGCTGGGCACCATTTCACTTTCTTTAATTTCTTTTCCACCTTCCACTGAAGAGCAGTAGCCAATTARACAACTACAACTGACAGCAAAATTTCATCAAGTATATTTAGTCTGCAGTTGGTGAGGGAGCAGATGGAAGGATGCTGAGGGAGAATTTAATGTCCTATATACCTGGTGCATCCAGATAGCTCAGGAGGACTGCAGCAGACTTCAAGGAGAACTGTAATAGGTCCTGCTGATAGAGGAAATTAATGGCTGTTGATCTGGGGCTTTGAGAGGAGCAAAGCAAAACAGGAGTTGAGAAAGGTCCTCCAATTTAAAAAAAATCAACCCAATTCCTCTGCAGAAGAAAGTTCAAATTAACTTCTCAGCCATATCAACCCCAGGGAAACTTTAATAATAGATTGTGCACACGCTTTTTAAATAATCACAAACATTTTAACATGGTGCCTGCTGCTTGCAGTTCTTTTGAAACAGGCATTGCTAAATGATATAAAAGTCATGGTTGTGCCACTGTAGTTGTGTATGACATGCACCAGCMAACTGAAAAATAAAGAGTGAGCAGAATTCTTCAGCTTGTTAGTATTTATCCTCTGGCAAACAGAGGAAAGCATTCTGTTATGGACCAATACAGCAGAAAAAGTTAGAAAGAGAGGACAAGGATCACTGGGGTGGTGGAAGATCTACATCTAATGAAAGGAARTACTTCTTCACATCTTTACACAATGTGTAATTAAATTGCTACAGAATCCTGGAAAAACCGAAGGTAAAAATAGGTTCAAAGAGAACCTGATCAAATTCACAGGAAGAGACATTACACAGATGTTGTATCTGGCTTAGGAAGTCCCTGAACAACAGAATACTAAATTGGGAATGTCTGCTGGGAGAAGTGGTGCTTAATTCACACCCTTTATACTTWGCACTCATTCCTTTATACTTTTGCTAAGCATCTGCTATGGGCCCTTGGCAGAGAAAAGCTGTTACACTACTATTAGTGCTTGGAAACACACAAGCATTAGGCTGACWTTACAGTGAAAATCTATTGGTCCAATCCATGCTAGCTTTTTTAGAAATTGCTTTAGTTTGACCACCAACCTGACAAATCCCTTATCTGCACTGAAGTGCATGCACACCCACAAACATACACACACACAAACATGCGTGCCCATGGTTTTTTTTTGTTTGTTTGTTTTTTTTTTGTCATTTAGTCAGGGTTCACTGAGAACCAAGGCATTAGTACACAGTGTACTTTTCCACACCTTCCGTTGCACTGGAGAGAAAAGCACACACCTTAGTCCAGGCTTGCTCTTCTTTTTGTCCCTACCTCCATGTCACAGCTGCCTTCGGCTTTCTTCAGTGCCCCAGACTGTGACAGTCTTCTGTTTCAGATGACCACTTGTATTTTCTSTTAACACCCTGGCTTTTCAGACACCAAAACCAAAATGTGAAAACATGAGAATCTACTTGACAGGAGGACGTATTGCTGGAGGCTCTGCATTTCAAGTCTTTCAGCAGTGTGCTCTTACTGGGTTCAACATGAGCTAGTACCACCAAAACCAGACTCTGCTTAACAAATGGAATAGAATGACCTACTTTTTTGCCTTTGTTTAATCTATATAATAGCATGCTACAGGCTTGCTTGACAGTTTCTTGGCAGTCGATTATGTAACTTATCTGTCTTCAAAAGAAAAACAACTTGGCAATAGAATATAGCATCAGTTCAAAATTTAAAAAATATTTCCAAGGAAATGTACTTTGAATAAAATGGAAATGCAGGAAGGCACTTACTATCTGCCTGCATCTAACTCATCTATATAAAATGACTGAGATGATAATTTTAGTCTCTGACACAGCTTCCTCACTCACTTCCAGGATGTTTTACTCTTACAAAATACCATTTGTGTCCCACATGATCCATTTTAGCTTTGCTCTCAGTTAAAACTCCATACTAGAGGAGAGCTGTTGAAGCTAATGCCAAAGTTTTCTCTGCTTCTACCATATGAAGTATTCACAAGTCTACCTAAAAAAAGAAAAAAGTTCAAAACAGAGGTTTACTTCTGCTTACAGGCCTGACCCTTTTGTACTCAGTAGTGCCCTGCAGGCACAAGGTGTAATAATTACAGCTTCAGAGAACTGCAGCAGATATCTGGCCTAAGGTGCAGAAAGCCATGAAACCTCAGACAGGATAAACCAGTAYRGWGAACAACAGAAYGATGTGTTTTGAACAGCAGCATGGTCAYTTGTTAGCATTCAACTCTCAGCTTCTAAGTCTTCTTTGGCTTTCTTTTGCAAAACATGTTTACAATTCAACTTAGATAACTTATTTCATTCCTGAAAAAGACCCAAACCCAAAACCTCAGAAAAGATCTAGATTTCAAGCCAAATGATGCATGGTCGATCTCACAGGCATTTAGGTTAAACTCAGCCCTACTTTTCCCACTGGCAGTCCTCTATCTCGTTGGTGGGCTTCCCTTCTAGCGTTGCAGCTGAGTCAGCAGACATTGTACCGTGTTGTCTAATGGCAGGAACAACATTCCTGCTCCAACTCCATTCCTTAGAGCTGCTCATCTTCGTTCACCACATTGTTTTAAGCTGGTTGGTTTACTTAGTTTGTGTTTTTTTACCAAATGCTGGCCTTTGCATYGCAGAGCACAGGTGCTGGCTGGAGCACTCTGCCTCCCACCAGGGCTTGGTCTGGTCCCTTGGGCAGGGTGGCTATTGCCAACCAGCAGGGTGTGATCAGAAATTTAGGGCCAATTCTGCCAAGGTCAGGCTTCCAGCWGCCCAYCAGGGCTGGGAGCCACYRGGGCTGTGGGATTTCCTCGGATCATGGGCAGCTGTGGCCAGAGAAGGAGATCAGCAATGTCAGAGCCAGGGCCTGCCTTGCTTTCTGCTGATCAGAGCAGCAGCTCCTCCCCAAGCACGCRCAGGGTGGGAGGAGGTGTGGGGAGTGAGTCCCTCCAGGGTGGAACTGGCCAGAGGAACTGGACTCAGTTGCAGATCTTCAACCACATCAGGTTGGTCCAAGCCCAACCTTGAATGTTTCCAAGGATGGAGGATCTATGACCTTCAGAATTTTTCACTGGAATGTCTTCGCCCATGGAAAACACTGCTGAGAAAAGCCAGGCAAATAGTTCACAGAATCACAGAATATTCTGAGTTGGAAGGGACCCACAAGGGTCATCAAGTCCAAGTCTTAGCCCTGATGGGGACATCCCCCAAGAGTCACAAGATGTATTTCCTGCTGAGTTTACCCAAAATACAGATTTCAAAGTCCTAAAGAGTGCAGAGTTGAGAAGTTTGAGTTAGACTGTAGCACTGTTGTGCAGGGAAGACACTAAAACCTGAGTATTTTTTGTTGGACACTGAGTAACCAAGCTCAAAAACCTACATGAAATAAACAGAAAAATGTGGCTTTATATAGTAGTAAAATCCAAAGATGTGAGGGCTTTTTTTCCTGAAAGAGACAGCACAGTGGTTTTTTTGGTTGACTGTTTGCTTTATGTCATCATTATTTCAAATTATTCCACTTTACACCAAATCAAGAGRTCTCCTGTCTAAGACATACTTTTGTCTATCAAGATATGGGGGCACCTTCCTTGGTGCCACAGAAACCAGAGAAGATGGAGAAGGACCATCTGTCTACTGTAGTCCCCATGGCAGGGCTCTTACTCCAGATGCTACCATTGTTTCAATATTCAAAAATGTGGTGGTAAATCAAACACATTTGTGATGGCAAATCAAGTACAATTACCAGATGGTGGTATGTCTAGATCAATAAACAAGAMAATTTTGGGGGTTGAGAATGTAATAGGAGATCTTGGGCAGAAAAGATAAATTGCAAGGGCGACTAAAACTGATTACAGAGCTGTGGGACTGAAAATCCCTTGTTCACGAAGAATGCATGCTAATTGTTCTGGCAGAATATATTGCTTCATTTTTTTTCTGCTTCAGTAGGACTRGTTGACTTCTAACAACTCAATTACCTTCTGTAAGTGAGGAGGGTGGTCCCTTGAGGTCAAGAAGAAGTTACAGGTATAGAGAAAGAACAAACRGAAATGGGCAGAAATGGAAGTGCCCTGAGATTGCAGGGATCCATTTCATTAGGTACACATTTCAAAGCTGCCCTGGAAGGAAAAGGGAAGGAACATACTGCTTAGGGTTTTGTCAGCATCATGGGGAAGGTCAGGTGAGATAAAAGAGAGGTAAAAGTAACAGCAGTAAGATCATGAGGTTGAAAGAAATGCATACCAGTTTCTCTCCAAGAGGATGACTGGACAGAGGCACTCTACAAATGCTAGAAATCACAGAGCTGCAGGTAGGGAATGGGTATGAAAAAGATTATTGAGAGCAGGCAGCATAAAGAACTGAAGATAAGATGAATAGCAGCAATGTATCCAGCTGTAATGTGGTCAGGTAGCAGCAGGCACATTTATCCTTTGAGCAGCACAAGAGGAGGAGGCGGACCGAGGCATTTGTCTTGGCAGGAGGCCCAYGTTACAGAGAGTGAAAGGCCAATGAAAGGTCTGAGGCGAGATGGAAGATTGAAKSGAGACAGCTCTGAGGARAGAGAGCTCTTCTGTCCTCTGAAGWTGCTCTGKTTTTGAATTAGATCAAGAAATGGAGGCAAAATGTTTTCCTTACTTGGTCCCAGCACAGAAGCAGTAATATTTAAAAGGATGTGAGGAGGTAAGATTTCCTTGTATGAGAATGACAATTATGTGAGATGAGGGAAAGGGGAAGGAAAGAGCAGGAAGCCAAGAAGAGGACTGAAAGTTGTGGTAGGTTTTTGGTGCATTAGCCAAAGCGCTTTCTTRTTTCATAACAGTGTACTTACTAGCTTAGTCTGAAAAGGAAACATAATTTACTGTATTTATCTTTTTCTGCTATGTCATTATTCTCATTTTATATTTATTTAATATTTCTGAAGCCTGGAATATTTTTAAAAACATGAATGTCGCAGAGATTCAGCTAAAAAGGGCTTTTCTGAGGCTTTGCAGATGTTATAGTGCWGGGGCAGTGAAGAATGTACTGTATTTACAATTCTATTCCTGTAACAGATAATCAATACATTGTGCTCTGCTGTGTTAGGGGGGAAAAAAGAGTATGAGTGCCCAACTGTGATGATAAGCCCTTTGTGCCTTGAGTGCACACATTTTCTAAGGATTAGGGGCTGTCCTTTATCAGCCAGTTCACTTCTGAAAGTCCATGATAGATTGCTGYTTGCCCGTCTTCTCCAAACAGCAGCAACCTCAACTTTATCAGCAAGGAAACCCCCAAACTCAGCTGTCAGTGWGTAATGCAGAAATATTTCTTTCTCAGGACAGACTCCCACAGGCAAATCTTACCTTCTTCTCTGGAGCAGTAAAAACTGCAGTAAAAAGAGGACTTTGGAAGTAAGGTATTTACAAACAGCCATTTCTTTATTTCTTTGCAGGGAGGGGGAGGGTTGGGCTTTTGGGGCAGTGATTTCCTTTGTGCTCGGGCTGAAGTGAAATGGTCCTTCAGCATCTATTCTAATGGGCTCATTTGTCTAGCRCTGGAAGAGTTGTGGGTAAATGGGGCTAAGGTCTAACATATAAAGAAATGTCTGCCAGCAAGAGATGTTTTAGCAGGTTAATGAGGAACTTGGTAACAGCCTAGCAGGGTCATTGCAAAATCACATCTCTTTTGCTGAAATCACTTGAGCCTTTTATAACCACAGAAAATACTTTGCTACTTTACAAGATTTGGTTGAATTGAAAATGGTATCCATAATGTGTCATTTTGGAGTGTTTTTAGCCGATGTAGGAAAAATGCAGTGTGAAAATTGACATCTCCTCTCGCTCCTGCAGTCAGCAGGCCAGAGATGGGGAGAGGGCTTGAGTTCAGTGAGCTCAGATTTGCTGCACCCAAGTTTTGAGAGATTGCAAGGATTATTCTACCCTCACTGACAAGTCACACTGCACCGTGGCTTCTCCTACAACACAGCAGGGGACTGAGAGTTATAAGAAAGCGGCTCCAGCATCCAGAAGTTACACCGTGCCCAAGCAGCCTGAGAAAAGAGAACAAAGACTTGGGTGGGTGCTTGGAGCCACAGCAACATTGGGCAGGCCTGCACACTCAGAGACAAGGGGAGAGTCTGGCTTTTCTTCAGCCACGGAGGCCAGTTTTGGGAAGGAAATAAGATTTGCAGTTGTGGTCAAGCACTCTTTGCGTCTCTCCAAAATGTTATGCACAGTTTTGCTGCCCTGCAATGCAACTGGAAATTTGTCATCAGAAAGAAACATAACCCTTAAAGACAGCTGCTCTAGTCTATTTTTTCTTTTTAAAGGATATTTGTTTACTAATTCAGGATATACTGCAGATTGTAGGGAGAACAGAGTTTTACAAGCTTGCTTTGTAATCTCGACTTTTTTTGCAAGGGAGCAATTGCAATGCAGAGATGTCTGGGTGAGATACCTGAGTCAAAACATTCAGTTTGGCTCTGATAGTGCACTGCTGCATGTGGCTGAAACTGTTCTGCTGAAAAACAATGTAAACTTTTCTCCACCAATTCTATGCTGCTGCAGCCATCCTGAGATTAATGCAAAACTGTCCACTGTTTAGGTAGATTTTCTGGGGAAAAAGAGATTATTAAAAGAATATTAAATCACTTCTCTTCCAGTTCTCTCTCTGGTCCTGAAAAATCCTGACAAATTAAGAACTACAACCTTTATAAGACTCAGTTTTTCAGCTGGGTGATCTAATAATTCATCCAGGAAGCAGGTTTATGTGGTCACATGTGCAGGAACTAGGGCTCTTAAAAACTAGTTGCAGCATAATTATTTACTTTAGAAAAACAGWATTAACTTTTACTCACCACTTCTCCTCCTCTACTTGAACTCCTATGGACTGGAACTTACTGGWTGCTTTATTGTCACCTGGTATGATGGCTTCTTCAGCACCATCAACCTTAAAAAAAACCAAAACACAACAGATAATTAGAATGTATTTTAGCAGAGATATCACCCAACTACTTGCAGTTTCTATGCACCTGCTTGTACCATGAGTTCCTTCATCTAATCAGTTTGTCTGTGGTCTGCTCATTTCTGATGTTATTAGTGAAAGTTTACTGTTCTTGTTAATCTATAAAGCATTTATGATACGACAATATTCAGCCTGCAATGTGCAGATGGATTTTATCCAGTATTTCATTGAGGCTGGATGCTCACATTTGTCAGAGCACATCTCTGGGCAGTTGTAATTCCTGGAGCACAATACCACTTGTTCGATTTTACCTTTTATCTGTACGTGCATGCATATGTGAACTCGTGTCAAAATTACGTGTTTATTTTGTTTAAATACTCGTGACTCAAATCAGAGCACTGCTGAGATTTAAAGAGAGCAGGTATGAGTCTTAGATGCATTTTCTTTACTGCTTCATCACGCCAATAGGTGGTCTCAGGAGGATAGGCAGGAACTTTATACCACATCTCCATTTCCATGAGGAGATTTACACCAATCATATAAAGTTAAAATTTAACCACAGATGTGTCTTTGAGCACAATCACAATATTCTGGGTCCAATCAGTGTAGTTGTTAATTCTCAGTGCAATTCTCAATAACATAGATAGTCTTAACAGAAAAACATTTTCCAGCAGACAGAATTTTTGTGCCACAGCAGTGTTATGAAGTGATCTGTTACTCAAACTGACCATGGGTGTGCAAAATCTCCAGCTGTAGCTGRTGGCTGTTCCACCAGCAACTTCTTGTTGAGACCCACTTGACCAGCCTATGCTGGAAAAGTTCTGAATGAGGGACAGGAGTTACAGAAGCTGTTTGTGAGGTGAGATACTTCCCTGATACTGGGGGTTCTGTGGAGATAAACACACCTTAAATCCCGTAACTGACAGCGTGAAGCAACCTTTTGATGGGAGGGCTTTGCTTAACTTTGCTTGTTTGCTCAGCAGATTTACAGCAAAGGCTTGCAGTGTCCTGAGAGTGACTGAGGGGTGTAGAGGACACACATGGGAGTTCATCAGAAGTGCACACTAGGTTTATTTGGCAGAGGAGGAAGCAAACTAAGAATGTACTTCTGGCTAATGCAGCTTGCCCTGCTCCACAGAGATGGGTCAGACTATGATGGAGGTGTGTGCTTGGTCTGAGTTTAGACTCAGCGTGAGCCAGGCTTTAGAGTCAGTGGAGAGGGGCTGACTCTGTACTGCCAGTCAGAGGACTGACAATGTAGCTGCCTCCTTTAGGGCAGTTGTTTGTAACAGAAGCATTTTCTGGCACCAACAGCTATTGTAGGGTATTGCTACTCGCACAGCACCCCTTCAGCTGCACCACCGTGAGTGCTTGTGCAACGATGCTGCAAAATGGATCTGACAGCTGACTAGTGAAGTAATTTTCTTTTATCTGTGAAGCCTGTCTGACTCTAAAAATCTCATTGATGCGCATAGTTGTGAGGGTGGGACCATGCACAGGCAGGAATCCTGTAAGGCTGTATCACTGCTGAAAGTTTTGCTTCATGTCATCCCATCTTTAGGGATCTCCGTTGGTTTGTACACAAATCCCACCCTGGCACACCCTCACGTGCCATCCCCAGCTTTCATGATTATTTCACGTGATTATATTGGTCATCTGTAAACTTCAGAGTTTGAGAGGGAGATTGTCAAAGGCTTGAAGAGAATTTGGAGCCCTGTTTTCCTCAGATCTCAGGAAACTGAGGCCTCTATACCTTTCAAAAGCATCTTTTGTTACTTGCAACACTACCTGAAAAAGAGACAGCAGGGAGATGGTCTCTCAAGTACCATGATTCACTTTACTGTTGTTCATTTTGGCTTCTACAAACACAGAAATGATCTTCTTGTACCCATTATTTTGCAAGGTCTTTGTCTTCTAGGTAGTCTTGGATTCTCTGATTGGTGAAATAAGGGATTACAATAATAAAATGTCACCTAAGGCTTGGCTGGGAATGGGAATGAGTAACAGAGGAGCTTTCCTCTATCCCTGTCCTACCGGGATCTTGCTCCTGTGTTTACCACTGAACATCAGCCCTTCTTTCAGAATATAGCCCAAACAAACTGCTGTGAAACAGTAAAAGTCTACAAAAAAGGCGGTGAGCTGAACCCGTAGTCAATAGTTATTACTGCCCTTCCAGGAAGAAGTGAGAGAAAAGTCACAGCTTCTCCAGCAGCTAGCCCTGGGATGGCATACTTCAGCACAGCACCTCTCATCTATCTCATCAGGCTGATACAGAGATTTCAGGGTAAATTCTTAGGGCTTTGCTAATCAGATAAGCCTGTCCAGACACATAGTGCTGTGCTTACAACCACCTTCTGCAAGGAAAAAAAAAAAAAAGTCTTCTTGTGAAGGCCAATAAGCTCTGGATTGCTATTCTATTTGCTTGGGATTCATTTCCCWTCAAAACTTGTGTTGCTTCTCAGTGATTTTAAGTTGAAGTACTTTGTTACAAAAGCTGATCCTGAAAGCAGATAGTCAGGAGTCCTATGCACATAATTTTTTTTTTTTTTGGGGGGGGCGGGGGTTGGGTGGGTGGAAAAGATTAATTAAGAAAGCAGATTACATGGGTCTGGTTTATTTACTCTTGTCCTTTCTGTAAACAGGAATGAACTTTGGCAGGTTAGTTTTCTTGTTTCATTCCACTAGAAGTAACAAAATGTAATTTTCTTTAACAAGGGCAAATCAGAAGGAACTTACCTTCTGCTCTTGAGTCTGAGGTAGGAACAATGCTGCCTCATTCAAGTGGCTACCAATCATTATGAAACGCATGAATAAGCAGCGACAATTAATTCAGTGAGGCGGGTGAATTTTTTTTTTTTTTTTGGTGATAGTGTAATGTAAATCATTGTTTTACACATTCCCTTTCAATGATTTAATTCATGCCTTTCTGACCCCTGCTGTGTTATGATTCATAGATTAGTGCTCATGTGTGTAATTCAACAGAGCTGAATAACAAGCAGCACAGAGACTCAAACAAATCCTTGCATCTGATGTATTTATGATAAATTAGGAAAACATCATTAGWACCATGCAGAATGATTATGCTGATGCAAGTTCTACATAGGTACCTGTCAGRACAAGAAGAAAAATACACAAAACATTGTATAATGAGCAATCAAACAGACGTAGAAATCCCAAAACAATGGCAGGCATATAATCCATGCCATGCACTGTACCTGTATTCCAATAGATAAACATCTGTTTTTCTTGAAGTGATCCTTCTTCCTATCTTCTACTGCAACAGTGGCAATGGTTGTGGTGGTGGTGACAGTGGCAGTGTTGTTCCCTACGTGCTGGCTTGCAGGGCCGTGGATCTGCGCATTGGCAGCTTCAATAGCAGCTGTCAGCGCCTTCATACTGTCCAGGCTTTCCGTGGAGTTGCTAAGTCCAGACTGRCTGATGATATCTCCCCTCTGCCCGTGCCCATCCATGTAGGCATCCTGGGCAGACTCCGTGCTGCTCTGGGCTGTGATGGAAATAAACGGCTTGGTGGTCGTTCTCGGTGGGACTGGAGGCGGCGTCTTCTTGTAGGTGGTAATGCAGGATGACACTGGAAAAAACACAGGAGAGCTCTTGTTTTATTGAGGCTGCAGGGAAAAGGGATGCAWGTGTGATATCAAAGCATCAGTAAGCATGGACAGAGCACAGGTGAGGAGGAGGCTGTTAGCCAAAGAACCCCCAAAAGCTTCGGTCCAAGTGCCATAGAAATGCTTTGCTTATCAGTGTCTTCTGTTCCTCCTACATGAGTGTCAGGATTGCCAGTAGGGCAAATAGGGAGAGAAAGTATCCATTTGCCAACTTTCTCCTCAGTCTTTTTAGGATTGTTTAAGTTTGTAGATTGTCTAAGTTAGTAGACAGTAGTCCTTCCACCAAAATGTTTGCCTCTGCTTATGGCTCCCAAACAAGATTCACAAGGATAATAAATCTCCAGCCACCTATCCTAACTAAACTGTACTTCAAGAAGTTTTTCTACTTTTATTGCAATTGTTTTCTGTCTCTCTACTCTGATGCAGAATTTCAAATTGCATTTTTCTGATGASATATTCCCAAGTCATCCTTTATCAAAGTTTGTTAACACTCACCATGCTTGGACTTGTGTTTCTTTCTATAAAATATCTCACTTGTTGCACAATCTTCTCAAATACTTTAAAATGCTTTGTAAGCTGCTGAGGATATATTTAAAATAACATTTTGCCATGCTTAATTTCTCACCGTAAATATAACATCAATTCTGGAAAAAAATCACTTTATTTTACATGCAGGGAGTTCGTGTAATGAAGTCAATGGCTAAAACCTGCCAGTCAGTGTAATTACAGATGCTTGCAATAACAAAGACTTTAATAAAAGTTCATATTTKGAAGGCCATTTGAAGGCCACTCTCTTTATAGTCAGAAGCTTGGCTTGAGGTCCCCAGTTAAAACTATTGTTCTGTAAACACAGAATTACATCCAGAAAGCACTACATGGAGATAAAAAACATCTTCCTTTAAGGGTTAGTTGGCAGCTCTGCATTACTGAAGTCCTGGAATGCTTTCAAGGGAGGAAAGAAAGTCCATTAAGAACAAAAAACAACYATGATATGCTCTATTTTTTAACAAAATAAATGCAGGCATGAACCTGTGCAAAGTTCAGACACAAACTTGTTAACATAAATTCTTATTAACAGTAATCATATGGCAAGAAATGATTCATCAGAACATTTTAATTGGCAGACGTCTATGCCACCCACATAAAAGGTAACTCTACTACAGCTGTTCTGCTCTCTGTTTGCACTGTATGTGCATGTCGAGCCAGAAGCCATTATGGTATTAATTTGACTAGCTCACATCCATATGCCTYATATCTCCCCATAGCTGTAGGAACACTTACAGCRTGAAAGGTGTTTCCAGGGCATGAAATCACCCAGGATCTTTTTAAAGGACTCTAGTGTAAGTTTCTGATAACGTGTCTGAACCTATGTCAAACACGTTGAATGCTAATGGAAAAGAAGAGTGTTTCAGGTAGTGAGGGTTTTGAAACTATGATTCACTTCTGAAGAATCAAACAGAAACCACCTGAGAGATGGCATCTCCTGAGAGATGGCTAAAAATGGACTTGTCAAATTTTAACTCTGGGGAAATGAATAGTTACTAGGGGTTAAAGTTGTTTTATAAAGTGCTCATGACAACATCGATACCTGGAACCAACAGAAAGCAACAGAAAGTTTTACAAAGGGCATTATGAATGTTGTGCTTTTCTTCATTGGCTTTGATGTTGTCAGAAAGCATTTGTTGGGACTGCACATGCAGGTAAATCAGCTGCTGTTGCTGCAGCACAAGCATGTACTCAGGGACTCACGGAGAATTGTGGAGGCTGCTGCTTGGGTCAGGATACCCCAGAAACACTCCAGGGTGGTTCCTGCTCTGGAGAATGTTCTCCAAGTTGTGGAAATCCAAACTGAAATTCAGCACAGAGGAATTCAAAGCACATACACACGCATGTATCCAGGTAACGCTTKGGGAAGCTGGTGCCAAACTTGTCTGATAGAGGTTCGTGTGCAGTGCTACTTTGCTATTCAGCAGAGTATAAATCGTTCAAAGTTTGAAATATGCTAGGCAAGGTCACTGGGGACCTTCTGGGGACATGCCAGCCCCCTCAGTACATCCTAGCACGACACTYAAGTATTATTTTTCTTACACAGCAGAGAGGTAAATGATAATGAACCACGCTTGAAAAGGAGTCTTAGTTAGAGAGCATCAAAACCAATGAGCAGTGCTTAACAAGATGGGTCCCCACATCACTGGGCATACCCCACTAGAAAGAAATTCAATAGCAACTCTCTATTGACAGCTACCATGCTCTCTGGACACAGCAGTACAAATACAGAATCGCCTGATTAAGTTGTCTTTCATTCTGTCGGTAAATGTACTCAATGAGGAGTGTAATCCACACTGCAATGAAAGATGTTTGCACTCAGCTAATTAAATCTGAAGTTATTCTTAAGAGCGGCAGAGAATTGACAAGTCATACGGTGAAATTGTAAAGAGAAATAGCAAAACGTTCTTTTAGCAAGTCAAAACAAATCCTCGGTTTCCCGGAGTCACGCAGCACATACTGTACAGCTCCAGAGAAGCAGAGTGTGCAAGTCATAAAAGAACCCCAGGCACTTCATTACTGGAAATGATGTAAGCTCCTGCCGCTCCTCTGCAGAAACGACAACAAAACAAAGCCGGGGCCGCCGCCGCGGTCGGAGGCAGCTGCGCTCGGTGCCGGGGCCGGCAGAGCGCTCCGAGGCACRGCAGGGAACGCACTCGGTGCGACAGCTCTGCTCCGTGCGCTCTCAACAACCTGGCAATGGTGTCAGGGCAGCCTGAAGGATCTGCGGCTGCTCGAGTGGCCACGGTTRTTTTAAACGCTAAGCTGCTTGAAAAGCCAAAAGAGTCCTCGCTAAGACAATTGTCAAAAGCTTGGCGCTGCCCTTGCCCAGCCGGGACAGCCGGAGCGCTCGGTCTGTGCAGGGAGAGCGCATCCATGCGGTGCTGTGCATTCCCCTGCGGGCAAAGGAGCAAACTCATCTCTCCAACCMTCCTGCTGCACACACGGACTGCCCGGCAGCAGGGCTCACAGGGACAAGCCTACAGGATCACGGGACACGTGGAAAATTTGGAGAAATCCTCACTTCACACACAGGGAGCTTTCAAAGGGTTTTGCAGATGAAAGYCAGTTTAATGCGCATAAGGAAGTGAATTTAAAGGGCTGTATAAATTCCCTGATAAATATGTTCTTGGACATAGATCAAGGAGTGAAGTTCTGTACGGAAACTGATCTGACTGGAGAATCAAGTAGTCTCGTGAATCATTAAAGTTGTTTAGATATGGAGTTAATCAGAAATATCTTTTTCTGAATAGTAAAAGCGTATTTGAACCATCAGTTTGACACAACAGAGACTAGTTTCCACAGTATTTTGCAGAGATCACATGCTGCTGAAGCAGGTACACATTCCTCTCCTAGGGCATATGCGAGGTTTAATCCAGAAACTAGTTAAGTCATGCACAAGAGTGTTCAGACAGCCAAAGTACTTTGAATCAGGCTCTCTGTTTTCAGTGCATCACTCCTTCAGGTTATGCTCGCCTTTTCCTTTTGAACTTTGTCCTGTTTCTGTGGACTGCCTTCAGGTTACAGTTTAATCCCAAATACCAGTGAAAAAAACCACTTTCTCCAGATGAAAAAAAAAAAAAAAAAAAAAAAAAAAAAAAAAGAAGCCACGGTGTTTGTCCTCCTAGCCAGTATTTCCAAACAACTAGCTCATGGAACAGGAATTTGGAACAGGGAGTGTCAACCACCCAGTTCAGAAGGAAGTCTAATGATAAAAAAAAAAATAATCCCAGATTGCATAATAATAAAGGCTTGAATTTGAATGTTTCATTGTAAGAGTAATTCAGTTGTTTAAACATGCTCACTAGGGGAGATGAGCCCTGGGGAACAAACATCAACATGCAAACACAAATTTTTAACTGAGTGAATGGGTGCTCAGGAGAACCCCAAGGCAGATTAATATTKGTGAAGGGATCAAATTCATGCAGTACTTTGAACAGTGCAAGTGATGAGACACATCAGCAATGTCTAACTTTGCAGTCTCATACAAACTTGGTTAACAAGAATAAATGAGAGTGCAAATTTAAAATTAAGTAACATAGTAGTGTTCTGGGAAAAAGCATGAACTCCACAATTTGCAAGGAGCAACAAAGGACACAATTTTTCCGGGCACAAGAAAGATGTGGACCTGTTGGTCCAGAGGAGGGCCATGGAGATGATCAGAGGGTTGAAGCAGCTCTCCTGTGAAGACAAGCTCAGAAAACTGGGATTGTTCAGCCTGGAGAAGGATCCAGGAAGGCCTCACTGTGGCTTTTCAGCATCTCAAGAGGCCTTATAAGAAGGAGGGAGAGAGACGTTTTATATGGGCAGACAGTGCCAGGACAAGGGCAGTGGTTTTAAATGTGAAGAGGGCAGGGTTAAATTAGATGCTAAGAAGAAATTTACTCAAAGGGTAGTGAGGCACTGGAACAGGTTGCCCAGAGAACTTGTGGATGTGTCATCCCTGGAAGTGTTCAGGGYCAGGTTKSATGGGACCCTGAGTAACCTGGTCTATGGGTGGGTATCCAGTGGGTATCCWTGCCCATGGMAGGGGRTTTGGAAYGAGATGATCTTTAAGATCACTTTGAACCAAAACCATYCTATRATTCTGTGATTCTAACTTSTACASAACTAAGCACTGGGATAAAAAGCAGGAGTTCTTCCACCCTGCACAGATGGACCTGAGTCTTCTGCTTTACTGTCTGCTAAATGGATGTGTCAGCAGCAGTGCTCTTGCACCTCACACAACTGACACACAAAACACAGAGAGGGGCACAACCCGGCAGACCTAAGCTTCAGCACTGCAGCCCCAGTTTAGAGGTGCAGTGCTTGTTTGGTGCTCAAATCATATACTTGTTTCCTTATTGTGCTGAGATTTGGGGARAATGCTTGAAAGTAGGGTTTCAGATCCTGTATTTTTATTTTTACATGCAAAAAA